AGCCAGTAGTCTGTGTGGATTATCACGGAGCTGTGGCTGCACAGTATACAGAGAGATGAACCAATGGGAGTATCATCCACCAGACTGACATGTCCCCAGGGCTGCACTCATACACACTCGATATGAAAATGCCAGATCACTGTGTATCTGGAGAGGGAAGGTTTGCCAATATGACAGCTTCTCCTCAAAATCCGAATTTGTCTTAAAAGACAAAATCTTTTGATCACCCAATTTTGCCTATATAATAAAACTTATGCAAAAAAGCTCTCCATTTTTTTTTTTAACAGAATTTAACTGTTTTATGATAGTCGTCTTTTTTTTTGGAGATGAAGTTTCACCCTTGTTGCCCAGGCTGGAGTGCAATGGTGTGATCTTGCCTCACTGCAACTTCCGCCTCCTGAGTTCAAGCGATTCTCTGGCCTCAGCCTCCTGAGTAGCTGGGATTACAGGCACCTACCATACCTAGCTAAGCTAATTTTTTTTTTTTTTTTTTTTTTTTTTTTTTTTTTTCAGTAGAAATGGAGTTTCACCATGCTGGCCAGGCTGGTCTCACACTCTGGACCTCAGGTGATCCACCCATCTCAGCCTCCCAAAGTGCTGGGATTACAAGCATGAGCTACCATGCCCAGCCTTCTGACAGCATTTTATTGAAACTCTTTGAAATTATAGCTCACTAAAGTTTAATATTAACAATATCTCACTAGGATACATTTTCAAAAAATATTAAGTTTAGAATTAGCAAATAGGATTTTTCTGGCTATAAAAGGAGAAAAAAATATTTATAATCCTCCAATTTCTTCCTGCAAAGGAAAATGAACAATTAATGCCTCATCCCATTTCTAAATTGAATCATCCCTTCCTTCCCTGCAATGAAACTGAGGTGAATTTCTTTTTTGCTAGATGAACTGTTTTCTATTTATTTATTTATTTAATTTTTGAAATGGAGTCTTTCTCCGTCGCCCAGGCTGGAGTGCAGTAGTGCGACCTTGGCTCTCTGCAACCACCACCTCCTGGGCTAAGCAATTCTCCTGCCTCAGCCTCCTGAGTAACTGGGATTACAGGTGCCCGCCACCATGCCGGGCTAATGTTTGTATTTTTAGTAAAGCTGGGGTTTCACCATGTTTGCCAGGCTGGTCTCAAACTCCTGACCTCAGGTGATCCACCCAATTCAGTCTCCCAAAGTGCTGGGATTATAGGCATGAGTCACTGTGCCATACACAGATGAACTATTGAAGAAGGCTAGAGCAATGGGTTCCCACAATAGCAAGATTGTATTTTGAAGGCATTAAATTATTAAAGCTCAAAGATCTGACTCATCATAAAGCATATTTATGGCCTTGGCAATACATTTTAGCAGTCATTCAAAAGAAAACAATTAAACTTCCGAAATGTTCTTCTGGCAAACTCAGTGACTATCAGAGGGAGACAGAAACTTCTGCTAACAGATAAATCTTCCTAACAGGTTTGACACACAGCAGCACTGGTTCCTTACACTTTCTATTCTGTGATCTAGGAACCTTTTCAGATCTTTAAAATGTAATAATCTGAATTATAGAAACTATCTGCTGGTTAAAATAAACATGCAATACTACAAAACACTGTCATTAAACAGGCAGTTGGGGAAAAGTAAACAATTCTTTCATCACCTTTAATCAAAAGGTTTAACAAGTTTTATGATTACCACTTAATTCTTAATACCACTTTATGGGAGTTATGATTCAGGCCCATGTCTTTGTTATTAAGCAAGACTCACAACAGAATGAAATCCAGCAGATGTATGAACTTAAAGGCATGCAGCCGAGGAGCTTGGTCCTCAATGAGAGAGCAGCGTGGGACCAAAAGGAACACAGCTTTCAGAAACAGAAGGCTATGGCTTAGATTTTTTTGATTCGATTTTTGGTTTTTTGTTGGCTTTTTTGAGACAGAGTCTCGCTGTGCCACCCAGGCTGCAGTGTGCAGTGCAGTGGCGCAACCTCAGGTCACTACAACTTCCGCCTCCTGGGTTGCAGCAGTTCTCCTGCCTTAGCTTCCCAAGTAGCTGGGACTACAGGAGACAGACACCCGCATCATGCCCGGCTAATTTTTTTGTATTTTTAGTAGAGGAAGTTTTGCCATGTTGGCCAGGCTGGTCTTGAACTCCAGACCTCAGGTGATCTGCTGACCTCGGCCTTCCAAAGTGCTGGGATTACAGGCATGAGTTACCGTGTCCAGCTATTAGATATGAGAAGTTTTTGTCATTTTAATTTTACAAAGCACAAAAATCACCTGTGTATCTACTATATAGCTGATTTTCTGCAGGACTTGGTGATGCTATGAATCAGCAGGAAAATAGAAACTGCATGTGAAAGCAACAAAACTTAGACACGCAAGTGCTAATGTGGCTCAACAACGTATTACATTAGAAAAAACAATTTGGAGACCAAAATGTCTGAGAACGGTTATGCTAGGGTTAACGAAAGGTTCAAATAAATTTATGTATATACACAAAAGTTTAACAAAAAAGTACAATCTATGCAAGATAACATTTAGGGGTAAATATTTAGGAGCAGACAAAGTCCACACAGATTCCTTACAACCCTGCAGCCTTTTTATGAAGAAATTCATCTGGGCTTTTCATCAATGCTACCTACCTCCTACAGTTTATCCTAGACTGAACTAACCCGATCTACAGCACGCCCTTTCTTTTCAGTGACCCAGGGACTCAGGGCAGGCAAAGGGGGCGCGGCCTGTGTGACGCAATGGGGGCTGGCCTGCCTTCCTGTCTCCAGGCTGTCTCTAAGATGTGGGAAGCAGTGATGAGTAAAGCCGAGGCCATTCCTATGGCCAAAGTATTAATAAACCAGCTGCTTTGTCAGAAAGAGGTAGTCAAAATCCAACAAGCATATCTATCTCTGCATTAGGGACTAGAAAAATTCTGAGGGCTGGATTTTGCTTCAGTTCCTTACACATTACATTATGTTTGGTGTTGCCAGGGAATCCAATTAATTCCAGGATTGCAGTTATGCTCTAAAACTACCAGATGATAGCTAAGGGCACCGCAGAGAAAGCTTTCAGGTTCCAGCTCAGGTCAGTAGAACTCTGGGTCCCAAATGCTATTTTAGCTTAGGAATGTGCGGTGGATCAGACCCTTGCACAATTCCAGCAACCACTCTGCCCTTACTATGACATTTGCAGAATGTTTTGGCCAGCTCAGACACTTTTGTACCACGTTCTCATGCAAACACACCATCTCAATTTCTAACAGGTCATTGTTGAACATACAAGAACACGGCACTGAGTATAAAAGGAACAGGGCTGGTGCGGTGGCTCACACCTGTAATCCTAGTACTTTGGGAGGGCAAGGCAGGAGGACTATTCGAGACCGGGAGTTTGAGACCAGTCTGGGCAACCTACTGAGACCTCATCTCTTTATAAAGCAAAGTAAGTTTTTAAAAAAGTAAAGGAACAGAAACACTGAAATGTGCAGTGCCCAGATAAAGCATCACCTTCAGTTCAGTAATCTGAACTCTAGTTCTTCATTTGGAGCTGATAAAGGGAAGAAGCTATTTCAGATATGTAAAGGTTTACACTATTAATCCAATGGTGAATCTGTTTTTGGACAAGTAGATAGAAAACAGAAGTTTTACCAAATATAGTGAAGCCTTATCTAAAAATAAGCACAGGGGAAGAAAAACATGTTTAGAATGCCTGAGTCAGCATGTTTCCATGGCATGATTATTTAGTTTGGGGTTTAATCCATCCTGTGACTCAAACCCGAGGATTCTCAGGAGTTTCTGTACTTCCCACCCTCACCTCTTCATTAACCGTCCACAGGGTGCGAAGCCATCGCAAACTAATACAGGCCATTTACTCAAAACATCCAGTGTTTGGCCATAGATGCAGACTGATGACATATTTATTTAAGAAGTATATTTTGTCATGTTTTTGTCATAGGATGAAAGAGGAATCTCAAAACCAAAATGCCAAAGTATATGCAAAAGTCTGCTACTTTGGACGAAATACTTGGAATACTGTTTTGTTTCTTAAGATCACTGACGTTTGGCACTAAATATTTCACTGTATTTTGGGTTGTTTTACTGAACATTTAAATTTAGATGTACTGTTTCCATTTCTTTGGTTCAGATACACGATCTGTTTCCTGCCCTTGGTCAGGCTATCAAAAGAGCTCCGTGAAAGAGCACCCACATGCTTTTCTATATCCTCAGCATTTCACACACTGTATGTTATCACTTTCTACAAAAACATGGCAACTTCACGATGATTTAGCAAAACGGAGGCTTTGTACTCTTCCCTCTCAACGATTACTCTTATTAATCTTTAATGGCAGCTGCATTCTCAACGTAATACAATGTTCAACAACTGAAAAAGACAACTGTGTTTCTGAGGCCAATATTATACATCAGGTAAGAATACGATACTCATTACTGCTCTCAGAATGCTAAGTTTGTCAATTCTTCTCCTGCTCTCAACCAATACAAAAGCAGAATTAGACAGTTTAGAGTGGGCAATGAGAAGGATGTTGGAATCAAAATAGACACAGGGAAGGCCATAAAGAGTCTTCGAGCATAAATGCCTGATAAGAAAAACTATCACAAAAGATTGCAAAACCATGATGCTCACAAAGGCCATCTCAATCTCACGCAAAAAAAATACTTCTGCAATGCCTGCCAAGGAACTGCCTCTCCAACCTGGGACTGGTGTCACCTTTCTTACTGATCCTCGTGATCAAAGATCAGTATCTCAAAACAATTACGTAACCCTCCTCATTTTTCCTATAAAGACCTTTGTCTTCCTCCATCTCCCAGGATACACTCGTTTAACTATGACATGCATTTTCCCATTATAATGCTCCATTCCTGAATAAACGCCATTTTCTTTTAGGGAGCCTCTCTCTGCTCGTTATTTATTTAAGTTGACAGCCATAAATAGTTTAGGTTTTGGGGAACAAATCACTAATATTTACTTAAAAACAAACAAAAAACTTACAACATAGGCATGAATGAAAGGTTATTTTGGAAAGAATTTAATACATTCTCTATTGTTAAGTGCACCAGATACCGGACTTCTGAAACAATTACGCTTCGGCATAATAGCATTTTCTATATATTTCTGTTCATGTTGCTTGTTCCTCTGATTTACCTCGAATCAATCAATCTGAAAAGCAAAAAGATTCTTTAAGCACCTGGTAAATTTCAGGTCCCACATTAGAAAATGAACATCAGCAATATTGATGGGGGTGAAAATATAACATTGAGACTGATGGGTAATGTCCCAAGTTTACTTTCATAGTTTACTAGGCTCAAGTTTCATGCTAAATGAATATCTGAAAGACTCAGTCATTGACATGTGCTGATTTTGATTTTAAATTTGAACACTCCCAAAGCATAAACAAATCACCTCCAGCAACATTGTAAAAAAAATACTCAAAGTTTAAAAAGAAAAGAAACTTGTAGCAGTACTTAGTGTCCAACAGAAAACACTCCATCTGCTAAACAATATCTCGACTGCAATGCTTCTCTTACTGTTGGTGGATAGATAATGACATAGCCCAGTCATTACCACCGTGGCAACAGTGACCAGGAATTATCAGAGGAAAATTGCACATGGAACAGCTGGTTCTCGAGCAGGCATGCCTCAGCTTCCTCTGGAGTATGCTTTTTCTGCAAGTCTGGTGTGCTCCAGGGTACTACCAACCCTTCGCGGCTCCAAGACTACAGATTATGTAGCAATTCCACTAAGCCCTGCTCCTCTGGATTTATTCTTCCCACCAACAGGAGCACCTACCACATTGCAAGCACCGTCCTAGTCACTGAGGATACAGCAGTGAATAAAGTTGAGCGCCTGGTAGGGAAGTCAATAAACAAGCTAGTAAATACTGTCTGTGTCAAGCAATGGTAAGTACAAGGGAGAACAGAGCAAGCAACGGGCCAAAGGAGGCTTTCTTCTTCTCCTCTGCGCTCCTTTGTATCTGCTTATTTCTCCCGCTGGCTCCAAGCTTTAGGCACCAGGACATTCCGCGCTGGCACCGCGCCTAGCACCCAGCCGCTGCTCAGAAAACGTTTGTGGAACGAACGAATTCACTTCTTAGTTACCATTTAACAAACATTTCCTGAGTCTAGGCCCAACAGCTTAAAAGGGCTAGAGGGCCAATGAGGCCGGAAACTCAGAGGCTGCTGGGCGCGGTGGCTCACGCCTGTAATCCTAGCACTTCAAGAGGCCGAAGCAGGAGGATTCCTTGAAGCCAGGAGTTCGAGACCAGCCTGGCCAACAAAGTGAGACACCACCCCCGCCTCCACTTCCGTCTCTATAAAAAGAAAGGAAGAAAACAGAAAGCCAAAGAAAAACACACAGGCAACAGCGCTTTACAAACTTTAAAAATGAAAATTCTTTTAGAGGAAATAATCGCGCGCCAGAGGCGGGAGCCCCAGAGCCTCAGCTCCCACGTGACGGCGAAGCCGAGGAAGAGTCCAAGAGTGGAAGCTAAGGCCCAAGCGCTGGAACCCCGGGCAGGCTCCTGCTCCCCGCCGCGAAGATCCGCATTCGGCCGCAGCGCTCCCCGGAGACGCTCACCTAAGCTGGGAGAGGCAGATACCGGCCTGGCCTAGTCACGCTACCTCCCGAGAGACCCGCACCACGCGCCAGCCAACCGCGTTGCCATGACAATTCGACCGCCGCTAACACCGGAACCGGAAACTTCATCTGGAGGTGACCCCTTCCCGGCGTTCCGCGGAACAGGCGAGCCCCGTGCCTCTCCCAGGGGTCTCCGAGTATCCCAGCTGGCCCCATTGGCTCACGGGAGGAAAGTCGTCTTCCCTCTTGTTTTGCCTCTCGTTGCCCGGCAAGCGTGACCCTGATGGACATCCACTCTCTCCAATAAAGTAACAAAGCGGTTGCCTACTGCCAATAGTAACGCAATAGGATGCGGCTCCGGCATAAGGCCCACCTCCCAGCTGCCAGGTGGGACGAGCAACGTGATTGGTAGAATCGAGTATTGCCGGTCAGTGTTGTCCAATCACGGAGGGCAGTTTAGAGCAGGCCCAATGAGGGCCACCGGGGGACGGGCCCGGCTGCCGCGGGCCGGGGAGGGCTCCGGGTGGTCGGCTTAGGGCCCGGGCCATCGTGGGCTTCGGCGAGCGTGCGGGGATGAGCGGGTCCCTCCGCCGAGCGGCGGCAGCTCTGCTCCGCTGGGGGCGCGGCGCGGGCGGCGGTGGCCTTTGGGGTCCGGGCGTGCGGGCTGCGGGCTCGGGCGCGGGCGGCGGCGGCTCGGCGGAGCAGCTGGACGCGCTGGTGAAGAAGGACAAGGTGGTGGTCTTCCTCAAGGGGACGCCGGAGCACCCCCAGTGCGGCTTCAGCAACGCCGTGGTGCAGATCCTGCGGCTGCACGGCGTCCGCGACTACGCGGCCTACAACGTGCTGGACGACCCGGAGCTCCGACAAGGTCAGGCCGGCGTGCTGAGCAGGCGCCCTCCGCCCCGGGCCCGGGAACGTCGCTGCACGAGGCCGAGGGGTTCTGCCGCGCCGGGCTGGGGAGCGAGGCTCCGTCGTCCGGGGTCTGTCTGGAGGTTCGAGTCGGGTTAGGGCCGGGAGCACTGTCCTCGAGTAGAGTCGGGTGTGGTTGATTTGACTGGGTCTTGTGGATCTGGGGGTCTGATACTGTTGCCAACTTGAGCAGTAGGTAAAGTCCTAAGGGTTCACTTATCCTCACTTCGAGCTAAAATAGGCGTTTCGGGGCGACTTGTCAATGGCTGGCTCCGAGGAGGGTGGCCCACAGCCTGACTCTGCCCTCCACGGTTGGGGAATGCATAGTAAGGACCCACTGTAAGGCACTTTCGGGGACACTTTGGGGAGCTTAGAAGCCATTGGCCTGCTCGTGGGTCAGGGTCTGGGGCTGTCGATGGTGGGGAGAGGGCTGAGGTTGCTATTGAGGCTAGTGAGGTCGGAGGCCGGCCTCTGTTGGCTCATGGCTCGGGGTGTCAAGCACCATCCTCTGTGATTGCCACAAGCAAAGGGTTGGGACTGCTGTCGGCTGGCCTTAGGATCTGTGTTGGGGGCGGAAAGTCATGACATTTGGCTTTAGATACTCAAGCACGGGGCTGAGTGTGTGTGGGCCAGGGCTTGGAGAGGTTTGTGGGGAACAGCAGCAGCCAAGGCTCTTGAGCCCGGGCTAACTCACGGTCTCAGCCTTGCAGCCCAGGGGGCCATTGGGCCAGAGGCTAGAGGGGCCAGGCCTGGAGGGGAGGCTGCAGGTAATTAGCATATTTTCCAAGTACCTCACATGGCTTTGCTACTGTTATCTGAATGGGGGAGGAGGAAGAAGCCAGGCACAAGGGCCTGGTCCTTGGCCAGGATGGTCAGGGTTGGTGGAGAAATGAGAAGGCCGTACCTGTTCCTTCTAGAGAGTGACCTGCATCCCAGTCAGAGACTTTCAGTGACTGAGTCCCTGCATGTCCCTAGCCAAAAAGAGGTGCCAAGTGTATGCTAAAAATAGTGCCAGGTTCTCTGTTATTCTAAACTTGAAATTACTAATCATGGCCATTCCTTACATTCATGAGACAGGATGGTGTTTGGAAAAGCTTTGGGTTGAAATCCTCTTTGTGGCTAGTCAGGTGTATAACTTAGACAAGTCACTTAACTGCGTTTTTCTTCAGTAAAATGAGGATAACGAGACGACGAGGCAGAGTTTTCGTGAGCAAGACAGAAGAAGTAAAAATTACAGAAAGTGTGTATCACCTTATCTGGCACAGAAAGAACCCAGTAAATGGTAACTGTCTTAATATTAGGACTTCATAGTTTTCAAATGTATTTTTTCCCAGATTATCTAATCCTTAGAAACTCTTGGTGCTGGCTGATTCTCCATTTGCTGTAGGTGATGATGGTGCGGGGTGGGCCCAGGAGGCATGCTGAGGAGTGCAGAGAGCAGGTTGAAATGGCCAGGTATATGTGATATTACCATATGTTATTCTCATGACCCTTTTGTCTTGCTGGTCAACTAGAATGCCACCAGTCACTGGCTCAATTTTATCATGTACGAGGCAAGAGACCTGCAGTCTTCCTTCAGAGACAGCTTCTCTGCTTAAAAGAGGAGTACCTATTTTGCAATCTTTTAACAGAGACCTTGCAGGGGGTCTCCTGCAAATTGCCCATATGGCATTAGTAAAAGGTTGCATTGTTATCTTGCCTAGTATAATGTTTTGAGGGTCTTTGGTTTGTGAATTTATTTTCCCTTGTTTACTATAGCTGGAAATGAGCTTTGCTGGAATATAGCTAAAACTGAAATGAGCAAAAATAAGAATGTGTCCTGATAACATTTTGTTTTTCTGCCTTCCATCCAAGTCTGGTGTCTGGTTTCTGAGCTTATATTCTTAAGTGTTCAGACAACAGCAACAGGAATTTAACCCTTACATTCCTTGACCATTGAGTTTTATCAGATTGCTATTTTGGTTAATAAGTATGTTGCATATATATTGAATATAGCATACACCTCTTTTATTGATTAAAAAAGTAAAGACTAGTGTAAGTATTAACATTTGGACCAGGGCAGGGTGGTAAATGCAGGTTCTCAAAATGGGGATTAGTTCAGCCAGGGTATTAAGACGCTTCCTCTCTTCCCTCTACACTTTTATTTACCAAAAGCAACTAATTGGCTGTCTGATGCTTGCCTTTGCCAGCCAAAGCTATATCTGTGCACCAGATCCAAGGTCATTTCTAGGAATAGGAATGAGGCTCTTGCAAAACTGGCCTTTTGTCAGTTTTTATGCCAAGGAGACCTGAACTTTACAAAGGGCCCAAGCTAGAGGAAAACATTCTTTCCTAGTTTTGGGAACTGGGTTCCCAGGAATGTGATGCAGATAGATCTTGAGACTGTGACCCAAAGAACAAAGGTGACTGTGAGGCAGCACCATGTTCTTGCCTTCTCAAGACCTTCTTGTCCTTTTCTTTTTGTCTGGAATGCACACAGAAGACAGTCACAAAGGGATGAGGGCCCAGTAGGCTCGTTTCCTAATCCTGGTCTTAATAAAGGAACATACGCTCGTGGAAGCAACTTACAAAATGCTGAAAAGTTTAAAGAATGAAAATCACCTGTAATCTCATGGAAACTACTGTATTAACATTTGGATTTAGTTCCTAAGCGTTTTTGTTTTTTTTTTTAAACACATTAAGATCATGCTTGTCTATACATAGTATTTTGCCCTCCAGAGACCAGGGAACATGTCTTATACAACTGCCTGTGGCATTGTGTGTACTGCTTATGCAAAGCAAGCTTTCAGTGAGCATTTTAATAAATAAATGCTACTTTTATTTATCATTATATTGCAAACTCTGTGGCCTTAAAGACTTTATAAATATCTGTAAATTGCTACCAACTTAGATCATCATTGTAGTCCTCGCATCTGGAGGAGTGACACAATAGGGACTCAAAGATTTGTTGAATAAACAACCATATTCTATTGTTGAATGCTTATTAAGCATTTGAAAATATGCCCAACCTTTTTAGTATCCGGCAATTTAAGATAGTAGTACAATACATGTCATGCTGGTAAGCCTGTAAGTTGGATAACATGTTGTGTGTATGTGCTTGTGTGGTGGACATGTGGTATGCTGCAGGTGGGGGTATAAAATGGTACCAAAGAGGAGTAACTGTCAGTAGTGCCCAGTCAAGTTCCCGGTGAACAGAGCCTAAGGCCCAGCTGCGTGACTCCTAGGTATATAGGACGGGCATCTGCAAACCTACTCTTGTAAAGAGCCAGAGAGTAAGTACCTCAGGCTTTGTGGGCTGTGTGGTGTTTATCGCATCTATTCAACTAACTCTGCTGTTATATAGCCTCAAGTCAGACGTGGGCAATACGTAGATGAATGAGCAGGCTGAGTGCCAATAAAACTTTATTTATGAAAGCAGGAAGTAGACTGGATTTGGCCTTAAGACCATAGTTGATCCACCCCTGGCCTAGAGACTGACTTCTGCATATATGTGTTAGGACTTCAGTTCCCAAACCCCAGGCCAAGGAACCAGGCCGTACAGCAGGAGGTAAGCGGTGGGCAAGTGAGCTTACCCGCCTGAGCGCCGCCTCCTGTCGTATCAGCGGTGGCATTCGATTCACATAGGAGCACAAACCCTGTGGTGAACTGCACGTGCGAGGGGTCTAGGTATGAGAATGTAACTAATGTCTGCTGATCGGAGGTGGAACAGTTTCATCCCGAACCCGTCCCCACCCTTCCCTGGTCTATGGAAAAATTGTCTTCCACAAAACCAGTCCCTGGTGCCAAAAAAGGTTGGGACCTCTGTGTTAGGATACCTGTGTCAGGGTGCCCATTGCAGCATGGCTTGCAATAGTGAAAAAGTGACAGGAAGGAATCTTGGTCTGTTAGTAGTAGACCGGATAGACAAACTAGTCATATGGTGGAAAGCTAAATCATAAACTAAACTAGATCTAGATGTATTTAACGTGGCTGAATCTCAAAAATACAGTATTTGCTCAAAAAGCAAGTTGTAAACATGTAATTATGGCATACTACCATTTGTGTATGTAAATGTTAAAGGTATGAAACAGTCCCATGTATTGCAGATACTCATGCAGTGCACCTGCAGTCACGGGCAGGAGTGACAGATGGCAGCTGCAGGGTAGAGGCTGCCTCTGGTGAGGGACTCAGGTAGCATGTGGTTCAGAGCCTGGGCCTTTATACTCCTGGAAGCCTGGGTATAAATCCTGGTTTCACTGCATGCTGTCACTGTGACTTTGGGTAAGTTACTTAACCCTTCTGAGCCTTAGTTTTTTCGTCTGTAAAGTAGGGATAATTGTACCTGCATTGCCAGATTTTTGTAAAGATTAAATAAGATTATTTTTGTAAAATACTTAAAGAGTGTGAAACTAATCCTTAACTCAATAAATGGTTTGTTTGTGGTTTTTTGGGACAGAGTTTCACTCTGTTGCCCAGGCTGAAGTGCAGTGGCGCAGCCTCGGCTTACTGCAACCCCTGCCTCCCGCGTTCAAGCAATTCTCGTCCGTTGGCCTCCCGAGGAGCTGGGATTACAGGCATCTACCACCATGCCTGGCTGATTTTTGTATTTTTATTAGGGACAGGGTTTCACCATGTTAGCCAGGCTGGTTCAAACGCCTGACCTCAGGTGATGCACCAGCCTTGCCACCCGAAGTGCTGAGGTTACGGGAGTGAGCCACCGCACCTGGCCTGAATCGTATTTTTATTACTTTATGACATAATCACTTTTTCTTGCATTATGTTCCTATTCTTTTTCTGTTGGCATATTTTTCACAGAAAAGCATTACTATGACGGGTGGGTGGTAGAGGATATTGGTATGGAGAAAAGGTCCAATTGTACCTGGTACTATGCTAGGAGCTCAACTCAGTTCATTGATTAGGTATCATTTAATCTTCATAATAAATCTGTAAATCATATATTCTCATTTTACAGATGAGGAAACTGAAGCTAAGAGATTAACAGATTTGTCTGAGACTCCATTTACAGGCTAGCAAACCAGATCCACTGACCCGCAAGCCTGTCTTGCCCTCTCCACCCCATGTTTTGCTTTTCCTCTAGTGAGGGTCTGCTGGTTTCCATGCTTTCAGCTCAGCTCATCTTATCTCGACTTAACGCCATTGTCTAAATTAGAGAATATGAAGAAAGTGTGACTCTCAGAGGTGGTGTGACTTGCCCAAGGTCACAGAGCCTAGTCAGTAAGAGGCAGAGTTGGATTTCACGTCAGATTCTAAAGCTACTGCAGTGAAGTTCTACCAGGAAAGAAAGAAGACTATGATTATGGTGCTCCTTATAATTTAGTGTCCAAACCAGGAGTAAAGTTGAGTGTTCTGAATGTGATGAAGTTTGAAAAGTACCTTTTGAAAGTTCTGGAGGGAAATTTTAAAGTACATTTCTCTACTCTTTCTGGCTTGATGCTTTGGAATGTGAATTTGTTTTTTTGGAGTGTTTTGATGGAGCACTAGACATGTGTAAATTGTCTCTGTAAGATAGTCTCCTAACTCCCAGTTCCTAGTGTTACTCTGCTATACTTTTAGTCAGCATTTTCTATTCCAGATGGAATCACCACTGTCTATCATATATGAAACACCATTATCATTCAAATTCATTCTTGGATATGATTTTCTAGTTTTCAGGAGTTGCTCTCTGATTCTGAGTTATTTCAAGGGATATTTGTAAGAACTACCACTGCATACTGCAGTTTTTGAAAACAAAAGTGTGAGAGAAATGAACCATGTTTAAACAGTTACTTGTGGGTCCGCAGGATCTGTTTTAATATTCAACTTATGAAGAGTAGTCTTTTATTATTAGAAGTTTCTCACTTCACTCTCTAGGAAGCAACTGAGTATTTCCTTAAATGTTTAAACCGGTAATCAGTTTTCTTAAAAATGGAAAATAGCATAGTTGTTAAGAAGGATGCCAAAGTTTTGCCTTGATGCCAGCTGCCTTTTTTTCACCTATTCATCTAAAAATTAAAGAAGTGGTTAAGTTTAATTTTGGTAAACCGTCAGCTGCTGTCAAGAACAGGCAGAGTGGCTACTGAGAAGTTAGTATCACTTGCCCCTGGCTGTGTGTTGGGTGTTTGGAGTGTCTGAGAGCCCGCTCGTTTTAGTAGTTCTGGTGGTAAAGATTCTGGGAGTCTCCTCTTCTCTTCTCTTACAGTCAGGACGTATGATCTGCATCATTCATTAAACTTTATGTTTAATTCTAAACTTTATGTCTCATTCATTAAACTTTATGAGACAAGCCCAATTCTTTAGTTGAGTACAATACTATAAAATTGATTGATGAAAAGCAATTTTACTTTAAAAACATGTATTTTTAGGGTAAATCTTGGTTTTGGGTGAATCTTGGGCAGCAAATTTATTTCCATTTTTGGTATGTTTCAAAAATTGTAGACACCCACCAAGATAAATCAGTAAAAACTGATTATCATGGAAAGCTTCACACATTATATTATTCATTGAAACAAAACAGATCTATCATGTAGGTAAATGATTCATTTGTATAAAATGTATTTAAGGGGCCGGGCACGGTGGCTCAAGCCTGTAATCCCAGCACTTTGGGAGGCCGAGGCGGGTGGATCACGAGGTCAAGAGATCGAGACCATCCTGGTCAACAAGGTGAAACCCCGTCTCTACTAAAAATACAAAAAATTAGCTGGGCATGGTGGCGTGTGCCTGTAATCCCAGCTACTCAGGAGGCTGAGGCAGGAGAATTGCCTGAACCCAGGAGGCGGAGGTTGCGGTGAGCCGAGATCGCACCATTGCACTCCAGCCTGGGTAACAAGAGCAAAACTCTGTCTCAAAAAAAAAAAAAAAATTTTTTTTTAAGAAAGTTCAAGGGAATTAAAAGAAGCTTATGTTTACTTTAAACACTCAGCTAAGTTTTGATAGACTTTGTATTTGAGGACAGAGCTTGAAGAAAATAAAAAACACGCAAATTAATGCTAGTTGTTTTTGTTGACATAGCACCAAACATCAGCACAATGAACAACTTGAACTCATCAGGATATTCTAGTATGTCTAGAGCAGGCGTCCCCAAACTTTTTACACAGGGGGCCAGTTCACTGTCCCTCAGACCGTTGGAGGGCCACCACATACTGTGCTCCTCTCACTGACCACCAATGAAAGTGCGGCTTCAGAAGCACTTCTGAAGCACTGACCCCTTCCTGAAGTGCGGCAGGGGGCCGGATAAGTGGCCTCAGGGGGCCGCATGCGGCCCGTGGGCTGTAGTTTGGGGACGCCTCGGTCTAGATATTTGGCATTATAAAGACATTTTGATGATTAATGGAATTTACCCCTTATTGGCAAATGCCAACCAGCTAGCTGATGTTTCTTTACCAACACCCGAGTGGCTGAGAGGTGTCATTTTAGAGGTCCAGAGCAATGTAACCATTTCTTAATATGTGAAGTCTGGAGGAACAAGATAAAGCCCTTGGCTCAGGGGCTTTCTCTAGGGCTGTCATTTAGAGCAAAGTCAGTTTTTTTTTAGAAGGCAGTAACTTTTAAGAAAAAATAAATTGTATATTGGGACTTACTTGTGATATAACTGAAATCAGTGATTTTATTTGGAAAATAAATGGTCGATAATCATAGGGTATCAAGAGCAAGTTTTTGCATTTTTAATTTGTGTGTTTACATAAAAATTGATTTGTGTAAATTTTACTTGAACAATCTGTTGACTTTTTTGTTTATCTTTATGCTAATGTTAGCCATTTAAAAATATCTGTGTAAATATAAAAGTGTCACATATATGTAACTCTAAAGGTTAGTTAATACATGCCATGCTTTGACTGTCTTCATTTTTAACATGACCAATACAGGCTTTTTAATGGCCGGATATGTTTTTGAAAGCACAGTCAATTTAACATACAAGAAGAAAAGGAAGTAGAATGATGAAGAGAAATGTTAAAAAGAGTAATCTTTTATGTCTTAAGATTAAAGCCACATTTCTTTCTTACCATTTTGTTACAGTCATCATCCTTGTGGCTCAGAATTGAACAGAGTAGTCCCACAGCTGCGCTGTCACAGAGCGTCCCTCATCTCCTCTGTGTCCTCAGAGCCATTTGCACACAGGACTGATCACATGCAGGCTGATTGGTTTCTTGGCTGCTGTGAGCTCTTAAGAGCAGAGCTGGTCTCACTCCCCCAGCCCCCAGCCCTTTACAGAGAACTTGCTGAGCTCTAGGCCTTTCCTTCATTAGATTTACCAGTCCCTTAGGGTTCTGCACAGAGCCAGATCGTCTCCTCCACAGAGAGCCCGTCACAGAGGCTGGATGGATGGAAACTGATAGTCCATAGCCATGGTACAGGAATTTTTCCTTGGGTAAAAGTAATTGTTAATGATTTTTTTAAAAAAATCAACAACCCATCATCTCAAGCAGAAGTAACTGATGGCCTGTAGCAACCTAGACAGTCAGAGTCATGAAAAGCGCACAGTGGGATTGCCCAAGTTGGCCATGAGTTACCATGATGGGTCCATTTGGAAACGAAGTTGGTTGTGACGTTTCTTCAAGTTTGGCTTCACTTGAAGCTTGACTGGCAGATGGAGAATTGTGGCCTTATATATCTTATGCAACTTGCATTACCCAGCTCAGTCCTCTGCCATTAATCTGGGGTCCATGACGTATCAGGTATTTTACTGAGAATCTTACCTAATTCTCACAAAAACCTTGTGAGATGAGGGTGGAAACAGGATGAGAGATCAGGTGACTTGTCTGAGGGCAGACGGTTTGTAATTGGAAGAGTTAGGGCCTACCCATTGGTCTCTTTCACACAAAAACTCATGCTCTTAGTAGCAAGCACAGTGCTCTTAAGATTGAGGGAAGCCAGGGAGGGACAGTGGGTTGTCTGCTAGTAGTGGGTAAAAGTTACATATTTAGCCATGAAAGGTTCAGCTTTTGCCATTTAAATAACAAATAATGTTCTTTCTCCATAGGCATTAAAGACTATTCCAACTGGCCCACAATCCCGCAAGTGTACCTCAACGGCGAGTTTGTGGGGGGCTGTGACATTCTTCTGCAGATGCACCAGAATGGAGACCTGGTGGAAGAACTGAAAAAGCTGGGGATCCACTCTGCCCTTTTAGATGAAAAGAAAGACCAAGACTCTAAGTGAGGGCGGTGGGGTCCTCGCTGAGCAGAGAGGAAGCCGTTCATGTCAGACTCACTGCCAGAAAAGCCTTACTGATTTTGGTTTTCACTATTGAGACAACAGCTGCTTGCACTGATCATTTTGGTTGGTGAGCAGTTGGGTGATTTTAGTTCGTCTGGTGTTTGGGCTAAGAATATTTTATTGTGGACTTAATTACAACCACTGCACTGTAATGATTCAATGCTGTATTATGATACTGCTGTAAACAACATTCATTCTTATATTGTCATTTATTTCTGGACCTGATTCAGGAGTTAAATAGGAGCTTTGGAATCATTATTCGTGACCCCTCTGCAAATGTGTCAGTCTGCAAAGACAGTATCTTCCCCCCAGATTTTGTGTCGCTTCTTTTGTTATGGAAAAATGATGGGCAAAAGAGAAACTGTGACAATGGGGTGGGGGGGGTGGGGAGGAGTGATGTTTTTTAAAATAAACTGCCAGCGCCGGGATGCTGTGCATGTCTGAGTTGATCCTGAAGCACATATGTCTGTAAGGATTTGGAGTGCCTGCAGTGTCTTACGTGTGGGAAGAGTGATTCTCATATTCTTCTATTAAATTTGCCACAAGAATTGCCATCCAGCCCTGGTCCACTTTCTTGGGGAAGCAGCTGTCTGGATACTGAGTCAACTATGCAGCTGGAGGTGCCGGTGGGCTGGAGGGAGCAGAGGTGGGTGAGGCCGGAGGAGGCGGCTCCACCTGCCTATCTCTGGAGCCCTGTGCTTGGCAAACTGCTACAGTTAGATAGGGAGACATCGTCAACAGTCCATCCAGCTAGGGGATTTAATGAGCATTTTACTTCTTAAAAAACAGGGCCTTTCTGAAAAAGGACATAATTGGAATTGTGGCAGAGATTATCTCAGTGTCTGGTGTCTTTATAAGGCTTTTCCATGATTTCTGCACCTGAGATTGGGGCCTGGTAACACCTGGGGCTGTGCAGTGGCCCCTGGGAAGGAAACCCACCCTATTGCGGTGTGGAGGCTTTGTTTATAAAGAGAGCACTTGTCTAGAGACACATCTTTATGGTGGCAGAGGTGGGAAGAAGGATGCATTTTCTAATCAAAAGGATAGGATGGCTCTTCTCCCCAGAGACATTCTAGAGGCTTATATTTGTTGATGATTTAATCTCCTTGAGTTCCTCTGTGAAAACTCTGAAAACAGACTTCCTCCATGAGAGAAGGCTAGAACTGGATGGAGGCGCCCCTGGCCCCTTTCCCCAGAGGTTCTGGAAAGGGAAGGAAAGCTGTAGCCCCACCCCCTGTCCTGGGGACTGCCCCATCAGATTAGAGCACTGCTCCTCAGTAATCTCCCACCTCATGGTGTCAGAGAAAAGAAAAATAGATTATTCTCAGAAAAAGGTTATTACATGAATTGTCTGCTACATCCCCTGATAGCTTTATGTCTTCTGTAAGCTAAGGAACCCTGGGATCTTAGAGGAGGTTGGAATGCATCCATTTGAGCCATTTGGTTTAGAAATGAGGGAAGCAAGAGCACTAGAAGGATACACCTTGTCCTGCTGACAGAGTCACCATGAGTAAGTCACTTCATACTGCTCCTGGACGGATCTAGGCTGTGGGCCATAGGCCAGGTCTGTAAAATTGTCCCTTGCCATCACAAGTGAGGAGTGTGGTACTTATTCACAATTTTGCTTCTTTTGACTTTTCCTTAAATCTGCCTATGTACCCTTAGGTTTCATCTGAAAAGTGAAATGATGAGAAACATCAATGTAAGAAACCTCTCTAGAATACTAGAGCTAGGAAAAGGCTGCTGAGTGAGCAATTTGACTCACGCTTATGAATTACAGTGAGATCATGTCAAAGTCCCTAGAGAACTTTTAAGTTGAAGGAATCACTGGGCTCTACCAGAAACGTAAGTATTCTTTATCAGAGTTAAATAATAATTTTTTCTGTATGTTTAACAAGTCTACCAAGTAGGAAATTGAAGATGCTATCTAGTATAAGTCTCAATGATTTTGATAGTCTGCATAATTAGAATTCACTGAGAATGAGAGCAGAGACACAGGTTCATTGTGCAAACAGCAGTATCATACATCTATTTAAAATACACAGTTGCTGCTTGGGTTTTCATTACAGTACATTAGGCCTGTATCAGTGTGATTATTTCAGTATTTGTCATAGCTTCAGGGTCTGTGTGTTATTAGACCCTTAGAAATAGGTGAAGGTATTTTAGATTAAGTGTTTTATGATTTCAAGTAGTTTTTAGGTTTTTAATGGATTGGTAGTTAAATGAATGTCATTACACTTCATTTAAGCTGTGAATTTTAGAGAGATCTTAGGACAGAAGATAACTTTTAAGTTGGGTTTATTTTTATTGGCACTATTTAATTCACTTGTGTAGAATCTGGGAACTGAAGCTTTCCTTTAACTTTTCAAGCCGTAGCAGCCAGCTTAAGAGAAAATTCTTGTTACATTTGTTAGTTTACTTAGATATTTGACATACATTATATTTTGAGAAATCAGATCCCTTGTTTGTGACAGGAGGGACTGTGCTAAGTGTAGAGGAATGACTTGTGTTGGCAAGGTTTTATTGGTGCAAATTGATTGATTAGGAAAGGGTCGTGCTCTGCTGCCGATGCTGGAGTGCAGTGGCCTGATTATGGCTCACTGCAGCTTTGACCTCCCAGGCTGAAGCCATCCTTCCCACTCGGCCTCCTGAATAGCTGAGACTTCAGATGTGTACCACAACACTTGGCTAATTGTTGTTGTTGTTGTTGTTGTTGTTGAGACAGGGTCTCTCTATGTTGCCCAAGCCGGTCGTGAACTCCTGGCTCAAGCAGTCCTCCCACTCTGGCCTCCCAAAGTGTTAAGATGACAGGCATGAGCCACTGTGCCAGCAGAAACAAATTTAAATGTGAGGTGAGCAAGCTTTCATGTTCCTGAGAGTCGCCAACAGGAAAAGATAAATATTAGGGGATTGCCACACAAAACATTGAGTTTTTAAAATTTAACATTCCACTTAAGAATTGTTTAGTAAATCTTTTAAAAAAAGCTTTAAATGGTACCTAAGAACCATATGATAGCTAATATGAAGCAGAACAGAAGAATGGTGAAGAGAAAAGCCATTTTAAGGTCCAGGGACTTATAGAGATGCATGAAGTGACCCAGGTGGCCTAGTGTAAAGCCACATTCCCATCTTACTTCCTGAGAGTAACATCACATTAGGTGTTAAAGCTCTGTGGGCATTTTGGGTAAGGGGAGCGTTGTTGTCTTGGCAGTTTCCCTGAGAGCCCAGTGCAGCCAGGGCAGAGCTGAGGGCAGAGCCTAAGCCAGGTGTCCCCAAACTGCGGCCCCCTGAGGCCATTTATCCGGCCCCCCGCTGCACTTCAGGAAGGGGCACCTCTTTCATTGGTGGTCAGTGAGAGGAGCACAGTATGTGGCGGCCCTCCAACAGTCTGAGGGACAGTGAACTGGCCCCCTGTGTAAAAAGTTTAGGGACGCCTGGCCTGAGCCAATAAATGGCACTGAAGGTCCACCTCACCTCTACAATCCCTATCCCAGATTCAGCCAGAATAGCCATGTTATTCCCCTCCTCGCGGACCTCCCGGGGCGCCTGGCTGTGTCACAGTGAAGTCTCTCCTACCCCGGAAAGCCTTCCCTGACCCCGGACAGAACAGACCCCTTGATTCGCTGTACAGCCCTGTTCTTTTTTCTTCACCCCAGGACCTAACTGCCTTTCACTTGGCTTTATTCAAATCTCTGGCCAGCATGCAGAGGGCCCCCAAAAAGTATATTTAGAAAAGAGTGAAGAATTTCCTTTCTTCATTCCTTTTGCATTAGTCACAAGAAATGTTAGGCTCTTACAGATTACAGCCCGGTGACATGGCAGTAGCTAAGAGCCGGCACTCAAGTCACACTCCCTGGATTTGCATCCCAGCCCTTGCCTGGTGTGCAACTGACCTCGGACAACTTAGTAACCTCCCTTCCTATTTAACAGAGCAAATAGCAGATGCCACCGAGCTCAGGTGTGTCGCAAGCTTAGATGACAGCACCCTACCAAGAACATGGATCATAATGAGCTCTCACTGCAAATTGACCTTGACAGTTCATGTTGGATGACACCCGGACTTTGTGCCGCTCCGTGGTATTCACCACCGTTTGGAGGGTTTAAGGGAGTAGAGAGAAGGCCATGCTGATGAACAGAACATCGTTCATGTTTGGTTGTCCCGGAGCATGTAGACTCATCATTGAAAGCAAAGGACAAGATCGAATCCTTGCGATGGTACTGTCAGTGGACTGCTCAGCAGCCCTGGGCGACGACAGGGCCTTCAGCCAGAAAGAATTCTCTATAAAGCATCTTCCCTACAATTATAGTTCGACTTACTGCCACCAAGTTTTATTTTTTAAAATACTGCTTCTATTTCATACCACAGCAGAGAGTCTTTCCTGAACTGATACGTTAGGCAGTTATTGTGCTGATTTATGCTTCAAAGAATGCAGTTTAACCTTGATCTAATTCCAGTTTATCAGTAGCAGGGATTATGACACTGGGTTCTACTGTACCTCAGCCATTTTCACAGGGATTCATTTTGCCAGAAAAAGGAGGTAAAAATATTCTCCGGTTCCTAGGAAATTTGGTGAGCAAATGTGGAAAGTACTTCCAGATTACTGATGTGTTTTCACTAGTCCTGAGCAAGCTGTTAGCTTTGATCATCACCACCCTCGATGAAGCAAACTTCCTGGAGAGGCCATGCTGAGCCTGAGAGTTTGGGGATCTCTTCTGGCTCTAGACCCAGGCTGGGCAGAGGCTGAGACCTCAGCTGGCTGTCAGATAACCCTCACCTCTCGCCTTGAACTTGGGGTTGTTAGGTGCTGTCAGAGTCTGACAGGTATCAAAGTATTTCAAATCTCAAGGAGAACCTCAGAGTTGTTCAGTACGTTTACAAGTAAATAGTCATCCTGGGAAACTAGCAGCACACTTCCTGTTATTCTGGCTTTTTTAATTGTTTTTTGTTTCTTTTTGAGACAGAGTCTTGCTCTGTTGCCCAGGCTGGAGTGCAGCGATAGGGTCTCAGCTCACTGCAACCTCTACCTCCCAGATTTAAGTGATTCTCCTGCCTCAGCCTCCCGAGTAGCTGGGATTACCGGTGCCTGCCACCACGCCTGACTAATTTTTTGAATTTTTAGTAGAGACAGCATTTCACCATGTTGGCCAGGCTGGTCTCAAACTCCTGACCTCATGATTCACCCATCTCGGCCTCCCAAAGTGCTGGGATTACAGGCGTGAGCCACCTTGCTTGGCCTTTAAATTTTTTTATTTAACTTTTGCCCATAATTCCTTAGTAAAGTCTCCTGAAAATGATTCTTGGGAAAGCAGAGAGCAAGGGATAGTGTCAGTTATACCTAAGTTCCTTCAGTTCAGGTGGATTTTGTAAAAAGTGTGGTGGCATGTCCATGTCCTAGCCCCCAGAGAGTGTGAATATGTTACCTGGGGAAAGTTTCAGTTGTGTTTAAGTTCAGGATCTTGAGATAGGAAGATTGTCTTGGCTCACGTGACGGGGCCCAGTGTAATCACAGGTGTCCCGGGCAGGAGAGAAGCAGAGGTTGGAGTGAGGTA